GTGGAAGAAGAGAGAAATGCTCGCCGGGAAGCTGAAGCCGCCAGAGCTCAGCTTGAGGAGCGCATGAATGCGCTTAATAAGAAGAAAAAGAAGAGTACCCTCAACTGCTTCTAATTCTTGGACTTCCATGATATTTTCTCATAGATGCGTTGTTTTGTTTGTCCTTTAAGAGACGATGTTCATTCCCCTGTATTATGAATTCGACGCCGATTCCCCTTGTTCAATTCTCGATACCTTTTTTGTTTTTTTTTTTCCCCTCATGTGTGTATTCGCACTATCTTGTCTATTTACCTCCATGCCTGTTTCCCCCTCTTGTTTTGCATTACGAATCCTGCCTTATGACATATTTCTGTGTGGTTTATTGACTTAGCCTGATGTTTGTACGTCTATACATACCGAATCTTAGGCTGAACAAAATGGCGCTGAGCAATGTGTATATAAAGATCGTCATATGACAGTTTTGGACAGCTCACGTTTGTTGCGTCGTAGCTTCGTAGGTTTGTCTGTAGCTCTTGATTGTTCCTTTGCTGCCCTAATACTAGTAGTTATTAACAACCCTGCTTATGGAATCTCTGGGCATATATACAAAGTTCATGCAGTGGCATTAGAGTACTGACATAGCCATAACTTGGTCGAACAAATAACTCTAGTCATGAATCAAGTGTTTTATATAGTAAAGAGCGACGAATCCTTATCAGATAAGAACAGATATGTAAACCCCATATCGTCACATGACGTAGCCAATGGCCGCGTGTCGCATACTCTACCAAAGCTCCAGCTCGCAACAGCAATTACAGAAATGCCCTCTCACCATCGCACCTCGTAACAAACCCCCAATTCCACTTTAAGACCGCCATGCCGGGCCTCAAACGCTCCAACGTGATCATCATCCACCCCGATCTGGGCATCGGCGGTGCTGAGCGTCTTATCATCGACGTGGCGCTTGCGCTCCAAAACCGCGGCCACAAAGTAACGATCTACACCTCACATCGCGACAAATCACACTGTTTCGAAGAAGCGCGGGATGGCACCCTCGATGTCAAAGTGCGGGGCAACACGATATTCCCCGCGCATGTATTCCGACGATTCCATGTTCTCATGGCGATCTTGAGACAATTACATCTCACCATTTCAGTCCTAGGAGAGATGTCCCACACTTCAGATGCGAACGAAAAAATTAAAGATAGCGAGGGATTAGAAGATGATATCTTCATCGTCGACCAGGTCCCCGCCTGTGTACCGTTCCTAAAGACATTTGCGCGACAGCGACAGCGGATCCTCTTCTATTGTCATTTTCCAGACCAGTTGCTTGCGTTTCGGGGTGAGGGAGGGTCTCTATTGAGTGTTGTGAAGATACTTTATCGGTACCCATTTGATTGGTTTGAGGGGTGGGCTATGAGTGCTTCTGATAAGGTCGTTGCGAATTCGAGGTTTACGAGGGGTGTTGTAAGTGAGGTTTTTGGAGGTGAGAAGCTTGGCGATGTTAGTGTTGTTTACCCGTGTGTTGATACGGAGCCGGCGGTTTCGAAGGACCCGGTAATTGTGAATGATGGGGAGGCGCTGTGGAGTGGGAAGAAGATTCTGTTGAGTATTAATCGGTTTGAGAGGAAGAAGGATATGGCGCTTGCTATCCGTGCGTATCATGGGTTGGGGGCGGAGAAGAGGAAGGGGACGAGGTTGGTTGTTGCTGGTATGTTTTGTTCCTGTTCTTTTGTTTACTCGATGTTGGGTCTGGTGGTTGGCTGACGATGGTGCTATAGGTGGTTATGATAACCGGGTCCAGGAGAATGTGCAGTATCATCGAGAACTGGATGAACTTGCTACTAGTCTAGGATTGCAGACTGCTACATCTAAGACGGTTATTTCGGCCCTGTCAGTTCCGGATTCGATTGATGTGCTGTTTTTGTTGTCCGTGCCGTCTGCGTTCCGGGACATGCTCCTCGAGCACGCGAAATTGCTTCTTTACACGCCTATCAATGAGCACTTTGGTATTGTGCCTGTCGAGGCAATGCGCGCTGGAATCCCTGTCCTGGCATCGAATACCGGCGGCCCATTGGAGACGATCGTCGAGGGCGAAACGGGGTGGCTCCGTGATGCGAAGAAAGACGCCGACTGGACGGCGGTCATGGATAAGGTTCTCTACGGAATGGACCAGAAGGAGTTCGACAGGATGTCTGTTGCCGCGAAAGAGCGAGTGGAGCGGGAGTTCTCCCTAACGGCCATGGGCGACCGACTCGAGGAGGAGATCTCGGACATGCTCGCGCGCGAGAGACATCCGTTCGCCGGATTCCAGCAGATCCTCGTCCTCTTGGCCTTGTCCGGAGTTGCACTCTCACTGCTTGCTGCTTTTGTCCTGAAGACGTTCTGAGTGTTGTTGTTGCTGATAATACCCCCGCGCATCTATTACCTTCTTGTACAATAAAAATAGACACTATCCAATACAATACCCTTCAGTCATCGAATGAACCCATACATAAGTAATAATAGCTATAAAACCCACCGTTATCACCACGTGACCTCGCGCATCATACGCGACAACACGTGCATATGTACATATCAATCTCCTTATCAGACACAAGCATCCAAAAACAACCACCACCTAAAAAGGAAAAAAAAAAAAAAAGAAACAAGATCCTATAATGCCAGAGGTAATAAACCTCCTCTCCTCAACACCACCCCTTCCACCCCCCTCCTACCAACCCCGTCGCCCTTCCATCCCCTCATCCCCAATCCCTCCACCACCCCGATCATTCACCCTCCCAATCCTCTCCTCAGACTGGGACCTCCCCGAACCCACCTACAACAATGACGAAGACAACAACAACAACGATAACGACAAAATCAACCCCTCAGAAAGACCCCGCCTAAACGAAGAAGAGCCCACAAGTCCTCTCAAACCGCTCGCACCGAAACCGGCGCGCGAAACGCATGTCCCGGCATCGAGGAATCCGTTGTTCCTTTTTTCGGATGATATTCTGCCTTCGTCGGATGGGATAAGGCCTTGTGAGAGTAGAGGGGGAGAGGAGGAGGATCCGATTGTTTTTACTTCTTCGGCTCCTGGGCCTGGGAGTGCGGTTGGGGTGAAGGGTAGTGGCGGTGTGAGGGAGGGGGGAGGGCGCGGGGTGGATGCGATTACGATTGATGATGATGATTATAATTATGATTATGTTTTTATTGGTGGTGGGAATGGACATGGGCATGGGCATGGGCATGGGAAAGGAGGGATTGGTAGGAGAGATACGCGCGATGAGATCGAGGGGTTCAGTGATGAGATCGCAATGTCGGATTTGAATGAGCTGCTTGAGTCGGATTCTACAACGAATAAGCGGCCTGGGTTATCGAGCCGGACGGCGAGTTTGCTGGCGAGTCTTGATCGGTCGAAGTCGGGGTCTGGGTCTGGTGGTGGGGTGTCGTCGGGTCGGAGGGGGCGTGTTGATATGGAAGAGGTAGATGAGGTGGACGAAATGGTTCAGTCACGGAAGACCAAGGCGCCGCGGAGGACGGCTACGAAGCCTACGAGTGAAGATAAGGAAGCCAAGGCACGGGAGCGGGAGGCGAAGAAGGCGCAGCGCGAGCAGGAGAAACAGCTAGAGAAGGAGCGGAAGCAGAAGGCCAAAGAGGAGAAAGCGCGGGAGAAACAACTTGCGGCCGATCTCGCGGAGGTGAATAAGCTGAAGGTGGATAAGAAGGAGTCCACGCCGGAGATGATAATCGATCTTGCGAAGGAATTCGAGGGAACGAGTGTAGGTAATCAGACGGTGGAGGTCATGAAACGGCTCAAGGTCGAGCAGACGTTTTTCGAGAGCGAGATTCCGAAAGTCGTCAAATGGCGACGGAAGGTCACGGCCAGATACAACGATACCCTGGGCCACTGGGAACCATGTCCGTTTCATATTCGCGGAGAAGAACACGTTCTTGTTCTTTTAACGGCGCAAGAATTCGTCGACATGGTGATAGACACCTCATCCACCACAAACGACCTCGACCACCACGTCCACCGACTCAAATCCACCTACGTAAACTACGCACCAATCTACCTAATCGAAGGCCTCACAGCCTGGATGCGCAAGAACAACAACTCCCGAAACAGAGCCTACCAAGCCGAAGTCCGTCGCCAATACTCACAATCCCAAACCCAAGACCAACCCACCAGCATCAATTCCCGCCGCAAGAAAACAACAACCAACAAACCCGAAACTACGCCCCCAGTCTCCGACGACATAATCGAAGACGCTCTTCTTTCCCTCCAAGTGACGCACTCGTGTCTCATCCACCACACCAACGCACCCCCTGATTCAGCCGAATGGATCAAAAACTTCACAGAACACATCTCGACCGTCCCCTACCGCCGCGAAAGAATGGAAGGCAATGACTCCGCCTTCTGCATGGACGGAGGCCAGGTCAAACCCGGCGAAAACAAATCCGATACTTTTATCAAAATGCTCCAGGAAGTGAACCGTGTCACGGCCTCCATGGCATACGGCATTGCAACCCAATATCCAAGTGCCATTGATCTAGTTCGTGGAATGCGAAGGCATGGCCCGGCCATGTTGGAGGATGTAAAGGTATGTTACAATTTTCTCTGCTTTGATTCCAAAGCCTAGCAGACTCAACTATCACACTAAATTTACATGGCTGTTCAAATAAACTAACATGCTCAAACAGAAATCTGCAAACAGAAACGGTGCACTAACAGATTCCCGTATTGGGCCTGCGGCGAGTAAACGGCTCTACAAGGTCTTTATGGGTCTTGATCCATCTGCAACTGATATTTGAATATTGTTTATATGGTAGGTAGAGTTATTTTGGTGATCATACCTTGTATACGTTATCTTGGTATCTTTTATTGGTTATTCTTTTTCTTTATTGCGAAGTATTGGAGTATATGGTGTCTCGCAGATTGGGCTGTTAGATGAGATGTTTCTTTCCATACGCTTGCATTATGTGTAAATGATTTTTCGGGAACACACATATGTTACATAGTTCTACTATGTGAATGGGAACAATGATAATGAATTCAAAAGTAGATACCATAACCTAGATTACCAATTTCGCCTTGCCTGCCTGAATATGACCGAAGCAGAATAAACAAACCAATGTACGCCTCTATCCGGTATTGCATCCTGGTGGAACTATATAAGACTGAATAATACGCAATTCAAACAGAAACGCCCCTTCGTTTCCATGATCTCCAAGCGACACCCCACGCGGCAATAGCCACCCATACGCTCAGCGTACATCCCAAGGCCCAGTAGCCAAAGCATTTCCAGCCGTGACACTGGCCGTCTGTTGAGCCATTGCCTCCATCTGTGGCGTCTTGGTAAAAGCGGGAGTAGATGAGGCCCCACAGTGCAGCGCCTGCTGCCGGGAACATGGCAACGATACCCCAGTTCGTGCCGAAGTTCTCGACGCCCCAGACGACGGAGATGATGATGGGGCAGAGGGAGAATGCACTCCCGTAACCGAAGCCGATCAGGCCTGTGGTTATGTGGGACAATTCCGGGTGCTGGACCGGAAATGGAGATGCTAGAAGAAGATAGCCAAGTGAGAGGAGAAGAGCGGATGGGAGAAGGAATGTTAGTCGTGATAAAGTAACTCGCTTTGATCCGGACGGTGAGCTGGGGCGTACAGCTTCTGAGTTATTTGGGAAGAGATGGGTTGCTGGGGGTGCGAAGAAGTCCGACAGGGATCCTGTGAGGAGTCGGGCAATTGTTGAAGTAAGCGCAATAGTTGTCACATGTGTAGATGGTTTGCCGGCAGGAGTAGGAGCATTGGAAGAGCTTGACTCTGGGGTCAGGGCTCCGACCACAGTACCCAGCTAGAAAGGTCAGCAAATCGGTGTACAATGGCAATGCGTGAATGCCACTTACGTTGTTAATGTATGCTTCTCCTGGTCCAGTAACCAAGAAGAAGCCTAAGGCAAGCCACCACATCGTATGATCCTTGAGGAACACCTTTGTTTCCCAGTTCAATAGCCAGTTTTTCTTCCTGCGTTCCTCCTCCTCTCTCTCTTTCTCGAGCCTTGCTGCCTCCCTCTCTTCCTCAGTTTGGGTCAGTGATAGCGTTTGTTCTTCGTCGTCTGCATCGGACTGCGAGAATGTCCCATACGCAGCTCTAACCTCGCTTCTCGACCGGAAGAACTCGCTCTCTTCCAAGAGGCCACTCCTCTCAAGTTCTTCGACTGCTTCGTCAATATACTTCTCCTCATCCTCATCGACAATCCGTAATCCAAAAGTCCCAATGACACCAATACCAAAAAGCAGTGCGGCAAGGAAAATGAAGTACCGGGAGACGTCTACATCGCCACGGCTGCCATCTTCTAGCCGTTCATACAAAAGGTAAGTACCCACTTGACTCTGCCACATACCACTGAGGCCAAAAGCAGCTATAGGAATGGCAAGCATAATGCCCTTGTGTTTGCCCCTGCCGAAGTTTTTGGCGCAAGTCGTGACGGCGGCCAGGTACATGCAACTTGTGGCGGTCCCGACGCACACGAAAGCAACTACCATCATCCAAAAAGGGTATCCATTTCCACCTACATCTGGAGGTGGACCATTCTTGTACACGATTGCAGCTAAAAGGTAGCCTATTCCGAACACCGTACCGGAAAACAAAGCCAGCGGCGACGGGGTATACCGGTCACAGAGGTATCCGAAGACTGAGACTGGAAGGTACATGGACACACCAGCAGCAATCGATACAGCATTTACTCGGAGCTGAGTGTAATGAAGACGGGTGAGAAACAAGGGGCCGTAAAGGGAAAACGCAGTGATGCTACCAGCTCCTAAGCTGCATCAACTTGTTAGCAGGAACAGGTACGGTGGGATGTAGCGAGGTCTTGATATTGGGCTTACCAGGTTACTACTCCCCAGGCAAAGCTACATATCCGTACCACTTCCTTAGCCAGCCTGCGGCGATCCCTTTCCACTATTTCTTCAACAACATCATTCAAGAGACCGTCTTCACCGTCGCTATAACGGCGTACAGAGATCCTGGATCCTGGCCGTGAGTGTAGATCTCTACCCTCCATGTCCCCACCAGAGTCATAGGTGGTCAGTAACGGACGGTTTGTGTCAAAGTCTCGTTTATCAATAGAAGGGTCCCGACCATTGGACGGAGGCATTTTGTGTTTGGACTGGCTAGTGAGAGAAGCTAAAGATGACGATTTTGGAACAATAGAGAACTTTCAAGGACTATATATACACCTACCCGAGCTGGATAAGCTAGGGCCCAGTATACTGTTCCTGTGAGCAATTGGGCAGGTAGCTGGGGAAATCAGTTGACTGAGCTCCGAGGTTCGGCTCCGCTACGTCACCAGGAAGTTTGAGGAAATGGCATGTTTATGAGAACGGAGTTTCCAAAAGAGTTATACGGAATAAACTTGAGATAAAAAAAATCCACCCACACACACGAGAACGAGGTAGTCAGACGGACCTATGGAACTGGAGGCAAGGGGATGAGGAGAAAGAAGTCATGCATCTGCTGGCGATTACACCGCTTATCGCCGATCGCACGTGACGCGTGTTTATCAGTCATTCAATATCCCCCTTTTAGGCAATTCCCTCGGCTGACTTGCGCTTTTGCGCGCTGTATCAGTCTGTCTACCTGCCATATTACTTCGGCCTGGTCACAAAATAAAACATGTATGATTATGAAGTTCTTGTCTAAAACCTCCCACCATTTATGTACATTAACATACTTCTGGAAAGTCACCCTTATAGCTCAACATGGAAAAAGGTCCAGGGAATCGGACAAGTTCCCGGGAGGTATAATCAACAAGACATGTCCGAAATAGGAACAAACCTAGACAAAAAAAGAGAGAAACGAAAATGAATAAAGGGCAATTTCATACACGCCGTCAGAATGGAATCGCTCTCGCACGAAAGACCTTCTATGATGCTCCAGGCATGTATAGACAAGGGCTCTGAGTTGAGCATTGTGCCATGATCAATCGTCAGTATCGTATTATCGGTTGTCGAAAAACTCCTCCACCGCATCACCCGGGTGGGTCGTTAAGTGTCGTCGACATCATTGGGCGTGCGCAGGGAAGAAAGGAATAGAAACAAGTGGAACGATAACGCCTGGTCCATTGCCATGCAATTTTGACGCCGTATCCCGTTGTTCTCAAATAATTCTTTGATCGACTGACTTGAAAGGGAATGCAAAGCCGCTAACTCCGAACTCGATAAGGTGAAACAGATTGAATAAAACGGTCAAGAGACAAAAACGAAGATAAAGGGAAAAGAATAAAACCCCCCTGGGATCAAGCAGGGGATACGTGACAGCAGCAAAAAGGGGGAGATAAAAACAGTACAATGTGAGATCAACACTAATAGCTGACTTCACCCGGATCGCTTTCCATCACCCCGTCATCCCAATAACGATCGGACAAGTCCTCTTGGCCAGAGATCTGGGATCTTAGAGCAATGGTTTCGCCCTCTCCTCGTTCAATATATTCATCCTGGGTGAGCTCCTTTAAGATACGCTGGAAGTACATTCTGAGGGTCCGTAGGCCACGCAGATAGCCGCGGTCGATATCGTCAGGATGGTGTGGGGGGCAAGGTGCATCCGGAGAAAGCTCATCTTCGCCAGTGACACAGTTTGCAAAGTCGACGATCTTCAGCTGAACGTCCATGTTATTATGTCCCTCATCAGAGGTACGGCGTTGCAGAGGAATTCGCTTGCTGTCACCGCTCTTGTCATTCTGTGGAACCTTCTCAGGGGAAGACTGCTCGCCATCATAAAGGATCAAAAGACTACTAGCGTAGAGCCGATATCGTTTCAGCTTTCGGATCATATTCTCCAATTTGGACAGTTTTTCAAGGATGACAGGGATCTTCTTCGCCACGCTGGTATAGCTGACACCATCGTAGAGGAACCGGGTGAGGGCGTCCTGAAATTCACGCCCTGACTTTAGGTCCCGGCCAAAGTACTTGTCTTCGAATGTATATTCCTGCTTTTTCACATTCCAAGATTGCATGCCGCAGAGTCGGACACCTAACTGCTGAGAGGTTGTTGACTGGCACTTCCGTCTTTGAGATTTCTTTTTCTTCTCGTTAGCTTCAATTCCATACTGGCGTGTTCCCATTTTGAGATCAAGGACGCAAGGTTTGTTCATGCCAGCAGTGAGATCTTCTAACAGCAAGAAAAACTGCACACGTTCATCATTCCGCGTCTGTGCCTCTTTAGGATTAGAAGGAAGGAGGAAGCGGTTGTCCTCTTTTGGCTGAACAAGGATGGAATCCTTCGGTGGCATATCGGCAACAGAACCATCCTCGGTTTGTACTGCATCGGCTATATCGGCTTTCGAGGCTTCAAAGTTTGGCGGTTTCACACTCTGAGGAGCTGATGGCACCAATTGAGCATCCGCTTCCATGGAGAATATCTCGTCCTCTCCATCACCACCATACCCGTCGTCTTCGAAGAACATAAGGTCGCCTTCTTTTTTCCCCGAGCTCATGCTCCGTCGTCTTTGCAAGCCACTTCCTGAATGGCGGCGCCTTACCCGGCGAGACCGTGAGACAGAGATGGAGCGTGGCTCGGACTCCTCTGTTCGAATTTGTTGAAGACGGTTATGATTCGAGTCTAAAGCGGTAGACGCTGACGATGATAAGCCAGGACCTTCACCTGTTTGCTTCGTAATGTCTATAGCAGCAGACCGTGGTGGTTCATTGGGGACGGATGCATTGCGACGGCTACTAGCGGTATGGTCCTCGGACAAGTTAGCCCTCTTGCGTGTGACACTATCGGAGGACATTCTTGGTAATGTGATGTGGCCTCGAGCATGACGCCGGTGATGGTGAATAGCCGGAGGACTGAACACCTCTCGGAGAACCTGCTCCTGTAGCTTACGATTGACCGTCGTGGCACCCCAGCTAATCTTGGGCTTTTTCGGAGAAGTTACTGTGCCGTCCAAACATCCATTTCTCAACCTTTGTTCACCAGTCATCGCTGCAACACCATGAGCACACCTGTCTCGGTTCATTGTTGTACCATCCGCAGTCCTTGGCCGTTGTGGACGAAAAAATAAGTCAGCCGGAATGATGTGCCGGTTGTTTTCAAGGATCACCTTAGGAATGATTCCAGTGACTTGCTTCTGACTAAAGATTCGTGGCTGATCCACGGTTTCAGACGGACGAGAACCGTTGGCAGTTAGTGAATTGGCCTGTTGGGGACCATTTGTCTCACCCGTGGCAGGTTCCCCATTTAAAACCTCGGAATTTCCCTCGGAGGTTAACTTGGAACGCTTGGGGTTTTTAGAGAAGGTTACATTCAACACACCGATGTACCTGAAGAAACAAAGCACTAATTAGCACGGTTCCACACAGGGATTAACATTGATAAGGTCAAAACAAAATAACCACCGTATCAATTTACCTTGGCAGGAACATGAGCATCTCCGGGTGTCTGCGTTCAATTCGCTCATAGAATTCATTCTCCCGGTTGTTGAGCTGTTTACACACAGCGCGCCTCGAGAAACGGAAGACGGTAGTATGGCCACCGACCTGGTGCCGGTAAGGTTTCAATTCTACCGCGCCCAAAGGAGCCTCTGCACTGTGCTTGCGTCCACGGCGCGGAAGGCGTTGACGTTGAGTTGGTGTAGCAGTTGGTGTCATTTCAGCCTCATCGGTCAAACTCGACTCTTCGTCGCGAGTAGATGTGCCACTTTCATCCGCCGAGCCATACTCCGATCCACACGTTGAATACTCACTGCTGCGATCGGTCGTGGCGCTCGGGGGGGTTTCAATCAACTCTTCTAATTGTGGGGCTTGTCTGTCTTGCAGATCACCGTGCAGAATTCTACTATCATTCTTAGATCGAAGAGATATATCCACATGATTGATTTCTTGCTCATCTGAGACGCCATGTCTCTTGGGCACTAGAACATGACTACTCTTCGTGGGCGACGGGTCGAATGGTTCTGTACCATGTTGACCATCCGGATAAGACTGGATTTGATCAACCTCTTCAGAAACAGTGACGCGTTCATGGGGATAATACACAGCGGAGGAGATTTGTTCATCGTCTTCATCTTCATATTGTGCAGAGCCACGACGCCGTTCTCGATCTGTATCAGACGAAGGTGAGAGACCGGGGACCTCCTTCGAGAAGTAGTCCCTGCCGCCTTCTGCAAACTGCGTCGGGATGCTTTTGGAAAACGATGTACCGCGAGCACCGCCTGGAGTTAAATGGAAATTGCGGATCTCCTCAAGTAAGCTGCGAGGTAAGGTTTTATAAGGCTTCCTAACATCATCGCTCACCGTGCGCTCCGTTGTCTCGCCCTCCGGAATCGGGGTGATCACCGGAGCATCAGCCATTGACAGATGAGATAAACTTTTCGAGCTCCGAAGATTGGAATCATCCGTGGCCACCAGTAATTGAGGTTGCGAGTCGGAGAATTCCGCAATGCGACGAGGTTCAGAATGGACGGCAGGCTGATGCTCTTCCAATGGTTCTAGGGTGTCATCGTGTCGTCTTCCACGGTCCTCCCTTCTTTTGCGATCCGGTGAGGTAGTATTTTCCTTGAACAGACCCAGATAATGGCTTGACTTACGGCTGCGCACATGAGATGTCGGCTCCGCGTTAGTCAGGTTTGCCTCGATCGAGTGATCTACTCTGCTGCGACGACCACGGCTCGAGCTGCGCCCAATTCCAAGTTCAGGCGCAGCGTGCCGTGAAGGCTGTTCGAGCTTTGGAAATGACGTCGTCTCGTGCTGAGTCTCTGCAGGCAGGTGGTCTACATGGACCGCCGAGTGTGGTTGTGGAAAAGACGCATCATTGAAGGAGGAAGAGATTAAACTACGGTTGACAAGCGACTCCTCTAGGGACTCAACACCGGTACCATTCGAGGTCGTCTTGCGCAGAGGTTGCGAATTCTCCCAGCCCGAGATCTGCGGGCTGCGTTGAGCCGTCTCGTACTGCCTATCCAGGTCTACATCAGGACCGACCGAAAACAGTGGGGAACGACGAGATGGTATAGCAGAGGACAATAGTGACGGAGGGAAGGAAGGGTTTCTGTGGACGTCAACTTCCATGTGGGAGAGGTTGGCGATAGTGTGACGGGGGAGGACCTTGGAAGAGGGAACTGGAGAAGGAGAAGCGGATGCATTTTCGCCGGCAAGATTCAAGCTCGTGGACAGTTCATTGTCTGTGTCTCCTTCGGGCGGAAGCTGCGGCGAATTACTGAGTTCGTTATCAGAAGGGAGGTAGTGGGTAGCAAAAATACTATCTCTCTCCGACAACTGGGGGCTGTGAAATAGGTCAGGACGGGAGAGCTTTTCGTGGGGGA